TGGTTGCAGATTTATTTAGATGAAAAGGTATTTCGAACTACAAACAAACCTCTGCTTAAACCAACTTTCTGTAAGCAACTCCTTAAGTTACAAATTTCTATCTAGGGTTGCATCGTACGATCAAATGTTATCGCGATACAGGGCAGTTGACTGTTTGTGAGAGAGGCATGACCATCTTGCATAGATTTGCTGTGTTCTATGATTGTTAAGGATATTGAAATGACCAAATGTAAATATTTGGCCTTGAATGCGACCGGTTATAGGATTCCCCTTCGTTTGCCTTAAAAGCGGTTTTGACTGTACACATGTTTGTGTCTGTTTGTACAGCTGTGATTACTGTACTAATGCCAACTCGCAAGTTGTCGTTAGCGCGGGTTTGGAATATCCTCCTCCTCCTCCTCCTCCTCCTCCTCCTCCTCCTCCTCCTCCTCCTCCTCCTCCTCCTCCTCCTCCTCCTCCTCCTCCTCCTCCTCCTCCTCCTCCTCCTCCTCCTCCTCCTCCTCCTCCTCCTCCTCCTCCTCCTCCTCCTCCGCCTCCTCCTCCGCCCCCCCTCGCCCGCGCTCGGCCGTGCTGAGCACATTCGTGGACACCTGCGAGTGGCTGGGGGGGAACGACCCGCAGGCAGCAGCGCCCCCCCCGGCGCTGTTTGTGGGATTCACAGCGGCCACAGGCAAGGGGGCGGAGCAGGCTCAACAGCACGAGGTGCTGGGATGGAGCTTTCAAGTCGGAGAGGGTGAGTTGTTGAGTTGGGGGAATACAGGTTAAGGGGGAAATACGAGGTGCTGGGGTGGACATTCCAAGTCGGGGAGGGTGAGTTGTTGGGGGAATGCGGGATAAAGGGGGGATGCCAGGAGTTGGGGTGGGCATTCCAAGTCGGGGAAGGTGAGTTGTTTGAATATTTTCAAGGAGGGAAGTTTCAAGTAGGAGAGGGTGAGTTACTGGCTGGGGGTGCTTTGTCCCCATATCCAGTCCTTGTTAAACAATCCTCAGCAGTCCAGTCTGTACCGCGATATTTTCTATCTGTTCCCTTTGTGATTCCCCTCTGCCCTTCTCTGCCCTTTCCCTCACTCCGATCTCAAACCCCAGCCCACCGTCCAACCGCTCCCCTTTCGATATACCCTGTCAACCCCACCCAGGCAATCCCTCACCTCATCAGTGACGCCTCCTTTTTTTTTAGAATTCTCGAAAAACAGACTCACCTCACCAGTGACGCCTCCCCTCACCTCATCAGTGACGCCTCCTTTTATTTTAGAATTCTTGAAAAACAGACTCACCTCACCAGTGACGCCTCCCCTCACCTCATCAGTGACGCCTCCTTTTTTTTTAGAATTCTCGAAAAACAGACTCACCTCACCAGTGACGCCTCCCCTCACCTCATCAGTGACGCCTCCTTTTATTTTAGAATTCTCCAAAAACAGACTCACCTCACCAGTGACGCCTCCCCTCACCTCATCAGTGACGCCTCCTTTTATTTTAGAATTCTCCAAAAACCGACTCACCTCATCCGCTTCCTTGCTGTGATGGCCTCCAATTCCTCCGTATCCCCCTCACCCCACCTTCCTCTTCCCCCTCCTCGTCCCCCCGTCCCCCCTCGCACATATCACGCCAACCCCAGCACCAGCACCGGAGGGCCCGCACACATCACGCCAACCCCAGCACACATCACGCCAACCCCAGCACCAGCACCGGAGGGCCCGTACATATCACGCCAACCCCAGCACCGGAGGGCCCTCTTCCGTTTCGTCCAGCCCTCTCTCCCTCTTTCTCCCCCGGTCTCCTCCCCTCCCCCTCTCCCCCCCCCCCCTCTTCTTTCGCCCCAGCAGCGGAGGATCCGCTTCCGTTTTGGGCGGCAGACTCGTTCTCCTTCCCCTACATCACGCCAGCCACTCCCCTGCTGACACGTGGCAGCACCAGGAAGCGATTCTTCGCCGCTGATCTCTCCGTCGCGGCTGCTGACGTGGCATCATCCTCCAGCCAATCAAACGATCCCGCCCCCGGAGCCATCTTTTTCCCTCGTCGTCTCCCCCTCCTCTACTCCTCCTCCTCCTCTCCCTTCCCTCCTCCCTTCCCTCCTCCTCGTTTACCTTCTCCTCCCTTTCCTCCTCGCACTTCCCCCTGTTCCTCTCCTTCCTCTTCCTTTCCCCAGCCCACAGCAACCGAACCCCCAATTTGCAAGGCTCGCTCGTTCACCTTCACATACGGCTTTTCCATGAATACATCCGCCTCCCAAGGGCTCGCGTTCATTATAAGCACACACGCGACCGTAGGTCAAGGTGGGGCTTATATGGGGTACGGCCGGGACCCATCGTCGCGACTCGCTAATGGCAGCTGGCCGGACGGCGCGCGGAGTGTAGCTGTGGAGTGGGACACTGTAGCAAACCCAGAAACAGGCGATATAAATAAGATTAATAATATACATAATATACACGTCGGCGTAAACACCGATTTCAACATGACGTCGGTTTTTACAAAGAAGGTTTTAGATGTGATGGAGCCTGAAGAGGTGTGGCAGATGAGGGTTGACTATAACGGGAGCAGCAAGGAGATGGTGATCCGATGGTACCGCCCCCCTGTTCTGCGAGGCAGCATGAACTTGTCAATTGACCTCTGTGCTGCTCTCACTGGGGCTGCTGACACCACCGGCAGCAGCAGTGGTAGCGGCAGTGGCAGTGGCAGCAGCAGCAGCAGCAGCAGCAGCGGCGGCGGCGGCAGCAGCAGCGGCGGCAGCAGCAGCAGCAGCAACCCCACGGACCTATCGTCGCCATGGTTTGGGCATGTGTTCGTTGGGTTCACCAGCGCTGCTCTCCCTCCCCCCCCTGGCCGCCTGCCTTCCCCCGTCGCCATCTCCTCCTGGACCTTCCGATTCACAGGTAGGAGAGGGAAGGTGTGGGGGGAGGTTGGCAAGGGGGAGAAGGGGAGGGGGGAGAAGGGAATGGGGGAGAGAGGGGAGGGGGAATGGGTTGAAGGGGGGAAACGCAGGGTTGAGTAAGGACCAAACCCGAACCAGTTTGGATCGAACCGGGTTAATATGCTGATGTGGTGTGGTCGACGTGAACCAGTTCGGGCTCTTGAGGCGCCTCAAAAAAGGTTCGAGGTTCGCCCCTCTTGTACTCTCACCTTCTTGGGTTTGTAGAGTGTTTTTTTTAGAATTCTCAAAAATACTCTACATCGCCAAGGTTCGCCCCCTTGTACTCTCGCCTTCTTGGGTTTGAGTCGAACTGACTGACTCTGATCCGACTGGGTAGGAACCGAACTGGATGGTCGGTTCGAATCGATCTGACCCTGATGGGAGGGGTCCGACCATCTCATCTCAGGGTATAGCCGAACTAGAGGATCCAAGTCTCATACCGTCTCTCTCCTCGCCCCACTCTCCATCTGCCTCACACCCTTCATCCCCCCCAACAGACACCGACCCTTGCAAGGCCTCTCCAGTGCTCCCATGTGGCACAGGTGCATGCACCAAGGCACCTGCCCCATGGGACCCGTCTATCCTCGTGCCCTCCTGCAAGTGCCCCTTCAATCTCCCCTCTATTGAACCCACTCACCTCGCCGGCCTGCCCTCCTGCTTCCCTGGTGAGATGTGGAGTGCGGTGGGAAGAGGTGGAGTGTTGTAGGTAAGTGGTGAAGTGCAGTAGGTAAGTGGTGGAGTGCGGTAGGTAAGTGGTGGAGTGCGATCGGTGCCATTGTGCTTGCTCGGTGAATGACGTAAAGTGTGTAGTCTTGCTCTATTACCACTCTTCCTTCCAGTGGCCCCTTTTTACCCTTCCTCCTCCTTTATTGTTTCTCCTCCTTCTCACTCCCTCTGTACCCTCTTCCCCCATCCCCCATCCCCTTTCCCGCCATCCTCCCCATCCCCATTTTCCCCTTCCGCCGTTCCTCCGTCCCCCTTCCCCCTGGTCCCACCGTCCCCTCCCCTCTCTTAAAGCAGACTCCTTCACGTGTCGCCAGCTCGCCAGCAACCCATGTGCCCCGGGGGGTGTGCATTGATATTGTTCTTTTGTTCTGCTCACTCTCTCCTCTCTCCCCACTCTGCTCCCCCCATCCTCTTTCCCCTCCCCCATGTCCCCTCTCCAGACTCCTTCACATGTCGCCAGCTCTCCACCAACCCGTGTGCCCCGGGGATGTGCATAGATGAAATGGATGGCACCTACTCCTGTCTCTGCCCCTCGCCCTTCTTCTCCTTCTACTTCTTCCCCAAAGGCACTGCGCGCTGCCACCTCTGTGCGTACCACTTGCCCTTTCTCGCTAGCTTGCTCGCTTAAAACCCGCCTCCGCTCCTAAATAATAAGTGAGTGGGTTTTTCTACGCCCTGCCTGTGCCCCTCGCGCTTCTCCCCCTTCTACGTCTTCCCCCAAGGCACAGCTCGCTGCCACCTCTGTGCGTTACTACTACCTGCCTTTTCTTTCAAAGGATAAGTGAGTGGGTTTTTCTACGCCTTGCCTCTGCCCCTCGCCCTACTTCCCGTTTTACTTCTTCCCCCAAAGGCACTGCTCGCTGCCACCTCTGTGCGTAACACTCACTCCCTGCCTCTGCCCTCAAAGGGGAAGTGGGTGAGATTTACTATGCCCTGCCTCTGCCCCTCGCCCTTCTTCCCCTTCTATTTCTTCCCCAATGGCACTGCGGTGCCGATTTTTGAGGCGCCTTAGTTCATCTCAGTGCTCATTCACGACACTTTGTTATGCCTGCTTCCGAAGTTCTTCTAGGCTTATCCTTGAACCTTGCCGTTGTGCTAATAGCATTGTACTGATATTGTTGACGAATCAAGGCTCATTTTTGCCCTTGCCATTGTACTAATGACATTGTATCGCCTGCTTGTGCAATGGCATGCCTACACCACGGTTATTGTTGTTATCTGTGCAGTGCAGTGCCCACTTTCCTATCGCCATACCGTACTGCCTTTTGAGTTGGCTAAGGCTTAAAAATCGGCCCTATGCTTCATGCTTTTCCCATGCTTACCCATGCTTACCCATGCTTACCCCATGCTTATGCCATGCGTGCAGTGCCGATCTTCCTGTCACCTTATGGCCTCACATGCTCGCTCATTCTCAACACCTATGGGCTCACAGAGGCCGAATTCTTTGACCAAAACAAGGTGAGGCGGTCAGTGCGTTTCGTGTCACATCGGTGCGTCGCTATTTGAGTTCCCCCACGTGCCCGTTCAGTCTCAAAAGCTATGGGCTCACACAGGCCGAATTCTTTGACCAAAACAAGGTGAGGAGGGCTGCGGTTTGGGGGTCAGCACGTTTCATGTCACATCAGGATCTCACATGCCCGCTCTTTTCATCCTCAACACCTATGGGCTCACAGAGTTCTTCGACCAAAACAAGGTGAGGAGGGCTTCGGTCAGGAAGGTGTGAAGTTCAAATTCTCACTGCCCGCTCAGTCTCAAAAGCTATGGGCTCACAGAGGCAGAGTTCTTCCGCTGAATCATGGCTGGGTTGGTTGGGCCTTCTCGGCTCTTCTAGTTCTGCTGCTGCTGCAATAATCCCTTATCTCACCCTGATCCAGTCAATCCAAATTTCTCTGTCTCCTTGTTTTGACCGCAGGGGATTGATTGCCGAGCGCCCATTCCTGTAAACACAGTTGTCAACGTCACCAGCCGGGCTTTGCACTGCCATGCCTTGTACTCTGCTAATCTAGCTTTGAAACGTCTCAAATCCGACCCTCCCTGTCTCTCCTTGTTCTTCTGGCTGCAGGGGTTTGACTGCCGAGCGCCCATCCCTGTGAACACAATCGTCAACGTACCAGCCGGGCTTTCTCGCCGTGCACTGCCATGTACTCTGCTAACTATGTAAGTGCCAGCGTTTATGTAAGTGCCAGCGTTGATGTAAGTGCCAGTGCGTAGGCGGCTGTTTTTTACAATTCTTCATAAACCTTTTTCCATTCACTGCCGTGCACACTGGTGTTTATGTAAGTGCCAGCGTTTATGTTCGTGAGAGCATTTACACCCTCTCCGCTGGTTCCTGTCTGCCGACAGGGTGACACGTGTGCGATTCTTGAGTAGACTCAAAAACCACTCAACATCCTCTACTCCACCCTCTCTGGATTGCCTTACCTACTCACCCAGTTGTCGCCCCCATTCCCTCCATCTCCCCTCTACCCCCCTCCCTCTCCCTCCCTCCCTGTGTCTTTGCAGGGTGACACGTGTGACTCACTCAGCGCCCTTTTCTCCACTCAGATACAGTCACTCAACCCTGGCCTTAGCTGCTCTGACGGGCCCAGGCCAGGTCAGGTGAGCATCGGTGCAGGTGGGTGCAAGTGGGTGCAAGTGCGTGCAGATGTGTGTAAGGGGGTTTAGATGGGTGTAAGTGGGTTCAGCCCATAGCGTATTGGGGGCTTCGGTGAGCTGCGGTAAGAAACATGATGTAACATGACACGAAATTACATCTTATTGTTTCACATCGCGTCTCATTGCGTTTCATCACATCACATCACACAAAATTGGATGCCGTACAACAAATTTTCCCCTTTCCCCCCCACTCCCTTCTTCCCCTCTCCCTTCCCTATCACCCCCTGCTTCAGCTCCTATGTGTCGACTTCAACCACACGTGGCTAGAGTTGGGAAAAACCCACCTAGAATGTGACCATTACGTGCAAATCACCCCAGCTGCTACCGCAACCACATCCACAACCACACCCGGGCTTCGACCACCCAAGTCCAAGAGTCAAGGGGGCAAGGGGAGTCAAGGGGCGCCCATGACTGAGCCAATCCCTCAACCACCCCCTCCTCCTCTGCCTCTAGCCAACTACTCAAGCCAAGGCGCGCTCGTGACAGTCCTGCGGGGCCCCCAGAGCTGCCAGCAGCTGTGGCGGGCGTTTGGCATCGCCTCCCCCACGCGCTTCTTCCAGATGAATCCCGGCCTTTCATGCGATGCACTGCTGCCGTACAACCCCTGCAGGGCGACATGATGAGCAAGGTGAGCTGGGGAGGGAGAGGGGATAGGCCGTTTGCCATCGCCTCCCCCACGCGCTTCTTCCTGATGAATCTCGGCCTCTCGTGCGACTCGCTGCTGCCGTACAGCCCCCTGCAGGGGAACATGATGAGAAGGGTGAGCTGGGTTGGGTGGGTATAAGTAACTCAGTGGGTGGGTATGAGTATACTCACTGAACAAGTCCTTTTAGCTCAGTGGGTGGCCCTTGTTTGAGGGGGGAAGTGGGTAAGGAAGGGGGGGGGGGTGTGGGGAGAGAGTGAGCTTGTTGTAGGACCTATCTCATGTGCGTCTGTCAGATGAATCTCAGCCTTGAGTGCGATCCCAGTCGGCGGCCCTTGCTTGAAGAGGGAAATGGGTAAGGAAAGGGGGGGGGAGGGGGGTGTGGGGAGGGAGTGAGCTTGTTGAGGGCCTTCCGCGTGTGCGTCTGTCAGGTGAACCTCAGCCTTGTGTGCCATCTCTGCGGCCATGCTTGCAGATTTGAGCGGCTAGCACCGACACTCGGCCGTTCTCTAGCTTCTCATGTCTGACCAAGAGGGCTTACAGTGTGAAGCGCGGAGATACATGCGTTTCCCCCCGTCTCTCCTCCCCTTCTTTTCCCGCTCGACTTGATTCCCAGATTTGCGTGGCTGGCACCGACACTCGGCCGTACTCTGGCTTTGCATGTCCAACCAAGAGGCCATATAGCATGAAGCACGGCGATACATGTGGTTCTTCCCCCCCCCCTTTCCTTCTGTTCCCTACCGCTCTTCAGATTTGTGTGGCTGGCGCTGACACGCGTCCGTACTCTGGCTTTGCATGTCCAACCAAGCGGCCATACAGTGTGAAGCGCGGAGATACATGCGGCATGTTGATTGCCAAGAAGTACCATCGCAGCCCTGATGTGTTTAGGGACCTTAACAATGGATATGATTGTACAGTGAGTAGGTTATATGCTGGTATGTTGCTTTGTTTGCCTTGAATAGTTAGTTCAATTCAATCAACCGGTGTTGTACTGTTGTTAGTTAGCTACGATTGCAATATTCCGTATGAGGGAATGAAAGGAGATTGTTATGAATGGAACAAAGGAAAAACAATACCAATGAACGCACAATGGAACATTTATATACGAACTACAATTACTGCACTGTAGCATGCATACCGTATGTATCAGAAGCGCGTCATCTTTTGGTGCTGGCACCAGTGCCTATATTAGCCGGGTGAAATGCCTGATTACCCTGACTTTGAGGGTATTTTGTCAGAATATGAAGTTTTTTGAAAGTGTGTAACACTTTCTAAAAATGTGTATTTTGAAAGCGAAGCTGCTTGTAATGCAGCAATGGCAACCGCGAAGTGCTAGACGCTCTTCGCCAACTATATAGCAGGGGGTGGAGGCCATTTGGCCTCCACCCACGTCTTCATTTGAAATTTCAAGTGCATTATTTCATTCTCGTCCGACTACCTGGTGCTTCTCGCAGTCCCTTTCTTTTCTCAAGAAATAGTAGGCAAGCTCGGTTGACTTAGCAATAGAGTTTCAAAAATGACCCGTCCCTACAATAGGTGCGCATGTTGGGGCTAATAGGGCGACAGCGCCACTGGCGCGCGTGGTGACGAAATCGCCACAGGCGCGTGTGGCGACGAAATCGCCACGGGCGCGCGTGGCGACGAAATCGCCACAGGCGCGCGTGGCGACGAGATCGCCACAGGCGCGCGTGGCGACGAGATCGCCACAGGCGCGCGTGGCGACGAGATGGCCACAGGCGCGCGTGGTGAAATCGCCAACGGCGCAATTGGCGCCAGGGGCGCTCATGGCGCCGAAATGGTCAAGATTGCCTCTGGCGCATGTGGCTACGAAATCGCCAGTGGCGCGCCAGAAACGAACTGGCATGGCAGATGCGCTTTTGTTGCTGAAATTCGTCTATGGAACACCTGTTACTTCGCAAATGTTCCCTTCATTTTTTTTTTCCTTTATACGTATGTTCGGTTTTTGGCTTGTCTTCGTTTTCAGTCGTGTTATTTCTTAATTTTTGGTCGCAGTAAATTGGTGCGAGGCAACTACCACAGCATTGCGTCGCCTTCAGAGACCATCTGCCAAGAGAAACTACGGCAAACATCTGGTACAACTCTGTGCGCTCCCGTGGGAGATTGGGACACCCCCTGGGGGTCCCGCGCGAGCCAGAAAAGGACTCGTGGGTCCTGTGCGGTGCTGGCCAGCGAGCTCCCCAGGGGGGAGGAGGACCGGTGGGTCCTGTGCGGTGCTGGCCAGCGAGCTCCCCAGGGGGGAGGAGGACCGGTGGGTCCTGTGCGGTGCTGGCCAGCGAGCTCCCCAGGGGGGAGGAGGACCGGTGGGTCCTGTGCGGTGCTGGCCAGCGAGCTCCCCAGGGGGGAGGAGGACCGGTGGGTCCTGTGCGGTGCTGGCCAGCGAGCTCCCCAGGGGGGAGGAGGACCGGTGGGTCCTGTGCGGTGCTGGCCAGCGAGCTCCCCAGGGGGGAGGAGGACCGGTGGGTCCTGTGCGGTGCTGGCCAGCGAGCTCCCCAGGGGGGAGGAGGACCGGTGGGTCCTGTGCGGTGCTGGCCAGCGAGCTCCCCAGGGGGGAGGAGGACCGGTGGGTCCTGTGCGGTGCTGGCCAGCGAGCTCCCCAGGGGGGAGGAGGACCGGTGGGTCCTGTGCGGTGCTGGCCAGCGAGCTCCCCAGGGGGGAGGAGGACCGGTGGGTCCTGTGCGGTGCTGGCCAGCGAGCTCCCCAGGGGGGAGGAGGACCGGTGGGTCCTGTGCGGTGCTGGCCAGCGAGCTCCCCAAGGGGGAAGAGGGCTGGTGGGTCCTTTTTGGTCTGTGGGTCATTTGTAAGGTAGATTAATGGTTGTGCAGTCTTTGTAATACTTTGCAATTACCTTATGATGAGCCCTTACAGTGCAAGGTTGGGATGCGGTCACACTTGAGTTGGTTGATTGAACAAACGTGGTGAGTCTGAAATGGTGCACAACTCTAGCAGATCATACCTATACTCATTGGGAAAAATAAAAGAAGAATAATAATAAATAAATAACCACGCAGGGCTTAAACGCCGGCAGATTCATCTGGATACCAGAAAGTTTCATGTACTCTTTGTGATACGAGCACGATTGTGACCACAAGGGTCGGGCTCATTCCGTACAACTTGTACGGTACAAGCTCACACCCATCATCAACACAACATACCGTACCAACGTCCGCTGCCCGAGTCCTTCCATATTGTTGCGGGTTCGTGTAAGAAGCCTACGTATCAGCCATCTTCCACTGATCAACACGCCTGTGCTACACTTGGCGCGACACCCCATCCAATGCAACGACAGAGATTAACATCATCACCAGCAACATCGGTACAAGCATCCGCTCCGTGTGCGAGCGGACCACCACCCACATGTCATCTCGCAAACGATCAACAAATCCCGTCGCATGTCTCAGAAGACCCATTTGAAACGAAGCACGTTGCCATTGCAAACACAAGAAAGCAAGCTTTCTAAATATGAAGTTTTTTGAAAGTGTGTAACACTTTCTAAAAATGTGTATTTTGAAAGCGAAGCTGCTTGTAATGCAGCAATGGCAACCGCGAAGTGCTAGACGCTCTTCGCCAACTATATAGCAGGGGGTGGAGGCCATTTGGCCTCCACCCACGTCTTCATTTGAAATTTCAACTGCATTATTTCCCACCCACCCACCCTAGCAAAAACTGCATGTTGTAATGTAGGTACCGTATGTATACTTAGCCGGACGAGAATGTTGTAATGCCCATTTGAAACGAAGCACGTTGCCATTGCAAACACAAGAAAGCAAGCTTTCTAAATGTGATATTTGTCTAGCCTGCAGTGGGGTACTCTATAGCGAGTACAGCCCAAGTTAGAGTTTGCTATATGTACTCAACTGCCTGCTAGTGCAACCCTCATTTGCCTGTTCTCTCTTGCCTAGCTACCTAAACCCTAGCTATGGCTCCTAAGCCTTCTGCTGTCTAGCTTGTTTCAACATGGTATCAGAGCCTTTGCGCTCGTTGCCTGTGGGCCCACATGCTCCCGCTGCTGCTGTACTGTCTAGCGCACGCCCCGTGGCGCGCGACGTTTTTTCTTCCCGCCACGCGCTCGGGGCGCATGGCGGTTTTCTGCCCGCCACGCGCTCGGGGCGCATGGCGGTTTTCTGCCCGCCGCGCGCTCCCATCGTCGTGGCGCCCCCGGGGACCCGCGGGCTCTCCCCCCGTCGTCCGTCGTGACGCCCTGGGGGACCCGCGGGCTCCCCCCGTCGTTCGTCGCGGCGCCCTCGGGGACCCGCGGGCTCCCCCCGTCGTTCGTCGCGGCGCCCTCGGGAACCCGCGGCCTACCCCCGTCGTCCGTCGTGGCGCCCTCGGGGAACCGCGCGCTCCCCCCGTCGTCCGTCGTGGCGCCCCTGGGGAACCGCGCACATGTTAACGGGAGTGGAGTGTTGGCCCCGCCCTCGCTTGGGCAACGCCGACGACTTGGTCGGATGTACGGGAGTAGCAGCCGACCGTTCACAGTGGGAGAGCTGCTCGACAGGCTTCGTCGAGCTGCAGGGGACCGCTGTGGTGTTGCTGTCGACCAGGAAGCTCGACAGCTTCAACTGACTGGTCTAGGCGACGGGTGGGCCGTCGATCAGGAGGGGCAACTCGACCGGAAGGCCTGTGGAGCATCCCGTCGACCTGCAGCTCGACCGGGAGGTCTATAGAGCATCCCGTCGACCTACAGTTCGACCAGGGAGGTCGACAGAGCAGCCGTCAACCTGACAAGGGTGCAGCGGTCGACGAGGGCATCTCGGCGACAACCGCTGATGGTTCTGGTCGACGGAAGGGGGTTCGTCGACCAGGGGGTAGCTGTGGTCGACCAGGGGCACCTGGTGGTCGACCAGAGGGACCTGGTGGTCGACCAGAGGCAGTGGTGGTCGACCGGAAGCACCTGGTGGTGTCCAGGTCGACCGGATAACCTGTACGACGAGTTCTGCGGAGGCGCACGAACGTCGT